GCAAAATGAAACTTATAATACGATATTTCCTTTTGTTTGAATTGAAAAGAATGTATTTTGTAATATAACAATTTAGAAATATTACATATTTTAGTATGATGATTTTTCCTTTTTGTTAATTGTCCATAATCTTTGTTTAAGATATATTCCTTATTTTAATTTTTTAAATTTTGTTATTATTGACACATGTCACAATCTAAATTAACAATTACATGTGTCGCGATCTAGTGAGTTAAATTTTGCTTATGTGTCAAGCTCTCATCGTGCGCATTTTCCTTTATATAGTAAGATAACTACCAAAGTAATGCAAGTTTGAAAGAAAAACATTGGTGAGAAACTATATTTGTAAGAAATTTATGATGCTATTTAAAAAAAAAATAAACATATAACGATAATAAGAAGAAGAAGCATGATTCTATTTAAATATAATTTTGTTCGTTATTATTATTTTCATTCACCAGTGTCTACTTTCACATAATTTCCGGTCTAAGTATTCCTTAAAATCCGGTTTCTACTATGTAAGAATGATGACTATTAGTATAGAAGGCCCTCTATACTACTAATTCATGAAATATACCATAAACTTACGACTTTGATATAATAGGTATTATATTTGTTAAGTCTCATTAAAAACATTATAATATTGTACATCTGATCAGAATATCGATATTATGAGTCAAAAATAAAAAAAAATGAATATTGTGACAATTTGGCGCCAGAGAAAGTTTTAGGGTTATTCGAGAATATGCAAATAAGTAATGGATATTGGTGTTGTTACTTATAACAGCGTCATTCAATGAATGTGCAACACCGATAAAGTAAACGAAGCTAGTCTCTACCTCAACCACGTGCTCAATGGGCACAACCACAGCTGCGTTTAGGAGGGTGGGACCCATATACATCTGACTTGGACGGCTAGAATTGAGTGGAGAGAGTAGAGTGCATCTGAGATTAGGTGGACAATGCACGCAGTTGCTTGCGGCTACCGGACGCAACTACCGGACATGATGCGTACCTTCTCTACATTCTCTTTTAATTGTTTGTCTTATCTTTAGAGCTAAACTAATATATAACATCAAACAACAAAGACACACATAAAAGTCAAGTCAAGTACGATTTAAAAATTCCTCCATATATTGAAAATAACTTCCTTTCCTACATACCAAGAAACAAAATCAACAAAAACAAAAAAAAAGAAGGAAAAGATGATGACGAATTGATGATCTTAGGGTGTGACTCACATTCTGTAAAAGTAGACAGTTGATTCAACATTGGAAGATGATGGAATGAGATGAGAATCGACAAGAAACAAAATGTCGTTACAAACGTTGAAAAACTCATTGAAAAACTTAAGTTTCAATTGAAAAACTCATTTTTAACCATCTCTTGGTTTCCTTTGAAGTCTTCATGTCTTTCAATGAAAGATAATGTTCTTAACGAAGCTCTCTTAGTCGCAATCACATTCTTGTAGCCAATAAATAGTAGTTCTCTGTCCTCTTCAGTTAGTTCTATATCATACTGACATATTTTTCTCATCGATTTCATCATATCTGCCACATAACATGTTTTGTAATCATATGATTTGAATAACAAATAACTAAGATCATGATCAACCACCTAAAATTTCATAATATACTAGTTTGAAATCAAGATCTTTTGAGAATGTATATACCGTCGTATCTTTCATCTTGATAAGGGTCCTTAGCCAAATAAATCAGCTTTTCTTTTCATTCAACTAGTTACACGTCGACGCAAATAGACTTTATTATTGGATGATAAACAACAACGAAACAAAACTAGTTAGATAAGATTTTCAAGTTTTTAGTAAAGGAGAAAAACTAAGAAAGATAGAAAGGGTTGTGAAACAAACAATTAAATGGAAATATATAGGAGGATAAAAATATAAAAACATAAAGGAAAATTTTAGAATTAAAACATACCTTTCCAAATAAATATAATTGTATGTTTTAATATAAGTTGAATCTCAC